AAAATAATCCTTTTCAGGATCTACGGTATTGTGGATTTCTACAATATGTAGCCTCCATAGTTAGGTAGTTGGCCTCTAAGATAAGTTGAGTTATCTGGGTACTCTTGTCGATTCCTGACTTCTTCAATAAGAATAATAATCTGATCGTCATAGAGATATCGAAGGAATTTGTATTTCTTAAAAGAACATTAGAACAACAGGAAGTTCAGTTCGAATTTGCTAAAACAACACTTCCATTCTTATAGGATGTATCCTTCTCATGGGAGGATTCTATCCAAGAAATCAATAGGTACTTGAATTCTTTGATTGAACAGCATCGACAGAGGCAGTACCGTAGCAATATAAGTGTGCATGGTATATTATGTTAATATGTCAAACTTCAAAAATCATTTGCACTTCCAAGGCCGATAGATGTCAGGGATGTTTTCTCTCAGACAAAAGGCAAAGATAGAAACTTTAAAACACCATGAAGTTTAGTTCAAATTTTCCCAAACATCTCTTACATTCTGTTAGGAAGAAGAGTGCCCTCCTCATATAAGGATTCTCTTAGAAGAGTTAGCTGATGCTCATATTTTTCATATGCTCTTGTATACTTTTGTGTCCACAGGAGTCTTCCACAATGTACCCACTGTTGTTATCCACAAATGGATCGTGTTTATTTACAGGGACCGGTTGTATTGAATACGATCTCCTGGAAGTGTTCGTAGAAGAGTCATTGTTCCTGCATCATATACACCTTTGACCAATCTTAGGTGGTCGTTGATTGTACTTGTTTGTAGGGACGAATCTTCCACTATTAAATATCAGTGTTGTCATCTCAATCTACAAGCTCTATTGCTTGTGTTGGGGATACGTGTAGGAGGCACCCACGCACTTGTAACTTTGCTATTATTATTTGCAAGTACAATACATTTGACCTTCTAGGGATTGTTGTAGGAGTCTGTTGCATTCATCAGCATCATTAATTGTGCATCTTGTCTTATGTGTTCACGGATTCTGATGATTATTATTCATTTGTAATTGTTGTAAATTGATCATCATTCAATGTCTACATGCATCAAGGTCATGTTCGTCATGAGTCCCCTGCTTCACAGCAAGCGAGTTTCCGTCGTTACTTCCGCTCAAAATGTCATGACTTCCAATTTGATAGGAAGGCACGTTGTCGGAGGGGCAAAGTTGCACAACAGTGAAGGAGCCGAAGTCGATCGGCAATGGAGAAGGAAGGTCGTTACAACTAGGGCTTGAGTATGGCCGGCTTCCTCACAGAGAGCGAGCTTCCATCATTCCCTCCAATCAAAATGTTGTAACTTCCGATCCGACAAGGAAAAGGGAATGTCGTCGAAGGAACGGAGTCAAACAATAATGAAGGAGGCGAAGGAGCTTCAGCTGCAAGGGGGGGTCTCGAGTTTGAGCAGAAGAGGCGGAACCTCTATTTGCTTTGTCATTTAACGACGATTCGATCCTGTGGGATGCGACATCGACGTGTGTAGGTATGGCGAAGATCGGGGTAGTATGATTTGAGCGGCGTTCGTGGAGAGGCGGACATGTAGCCGGACAGGTACAACATTTCAATGATTTTTTTTGTTTCACAGGTCAACATTAGTGTATATTTTTTGTATATAATAAATATGAATAATGTAAATATTTTGACAATAACATCACTAAATTTCACCTCGTAGAATTAAAGTAATGATTTTCTAACAAGATAAATATTATATAGATTTTCTTGCATTTCACATAATTGACTATTTCATACTGCATTTTGATTATGGCATTTGCATAAGCAAGAAAGGCTGGTTGTTAACAATATAAAATGAGTTGGCCAATAAAACATAATACCCTGCGTAGGAGAGTAGGGCCGACAAACTTTCTTTTAAAGATGATTTGCGGTGTTATCTCGGTTGTAGCTTATAACAAATGCTCGAATTACACCGACAGATAGAAGGTGACAACTCTTAATGATTTTCGAAAGCAATAATGATAAAAGATGAATAATAATGATATGAAGAAGCAATAGATGAAAACACCACATTAAAGCTGGATGTCTTGCCTTGTTGTATACTGATGCATGCATATACTAATAATATTGATAAATAGAGTAGTGACATGTGTACATATACAACATATGAATGGATAGTAATATTGATTGCATATAATTGATATGATGGATGTATGAGAATAAGATTGATAATATTGATTCATGTGCTTGTAATTATTTTTACTGACGCTAGAATGATTATAGGGCTGCACGCGAACCAAACGTTCGACAAGCTACTCGTTGTTCAGTTCGTTTAAAGCACGTTCGTAATCATTTAATTAACTAAACAAACAAACTTGAACAATATTTTAAATACTCAATTATTAAATAAACAAGCTTGAACACTAATGTGTTCGGCTCATTTATGTTCGTGAACAACATCATTTGAAGTTCGTGAACAAGCTCGACATTAAGCTCGATAAAAGCTCGATTTGTATTCGATTTTGAACTTGAATATATGTACTAGCAAATATGATTCATGTTTAATATAATTATTGACTTCTCTTTTAAAGGTATGTCTGAAAATTCACCAAAGCAGTTAGGATTAATAGTTCATGATGTTCAAATTAGTGTTAGGTCATCTTCAAGTCCAACAGTTGTAACAAAACATGTCCAACAAGAAAATCCTTTTACTAAGAAAGCACGAAAGAAAACCTCTCAAGATGCAAGAGCAATCCTTTTGTGGCCACTAGTTGTTACTGGATCAGTGATTGTTGTAGGTATCAAATATTACTTAACTTATTGTCTAAGTAATTGTAGCTTTATCCGCTATTTATTTATAAATCATTGCCTTTATTAATGCTGCTATAGGAAAATTCTAAGAAGATGGGATTTACTTATAAATCATTGTCTTTGTTACATAGACAATTGCTTTTATTATAAATGTGTTTGTTTATAGATATGTTCATGAATGTGTTTGTTTGATAGTTAAAAAACATTTGTTAAATATATTCGCGAACATGCTAGATGTAATTGTTTGTTAGGAAGCTCGATAAAGCTCGTTTGTTAAGTTAATGAACATCTAAAAGTAGAGCTCGTTTATAACTCGTTCATATTTATTTTTTTAAATCTCGATAAGTACTAAACGAACAAACATGAACTGAACATGAACCGAACATGAACCGAACATGAACACTCATTATTTTAAATGAACCAAACATGAACAAAAACAATAAAGCTCGAACAAACATGAACCAAACTTGAACAACCTGATATTAAATGAACACAAACATGAACACTCACATACTCGGCTCGGCTCGGTTCGTTTGGAGGATATCATCAGGTCCAACAGCTTTTCCACACTTCATTTTCTTTAAAGCCTCTCTAACTTTGGTTTTGCTAATACGTCAATAAACACACAAATCTTTATTTTCATTTAAAGTGTTAAGGTCATTAAAGTTAATCGTATTTTCACAATCTTTATTAAAAAGTTCAGCAAAATATCACATCTACCTTTGTTGAATATCAACTTCTAAGAAAAGTACTTTTTGATCTTCATCCTTAATATACTTCACTTGAATTAAATCCTTATCACTCATATCTCTTTGTTTGACTAACTTATATGTATATATTTCTCCTTCCTTAGTATCTAATCTATTATATAAATCATTAAAAGTTAAGATCTTTGCATCGCATATTGCTTTCTTAGATTCCTTACGTGTTTCTTTATATCTATCACAATTATCAAAATTTTTACATTATTTTTATTTTTTCTTGAACATTTAGATTCCACCACAAACTATTTTTACTAAAGAGCTTTTTCCTTTTATATTCAAAGTATATCTTTTGCAATATTCTTAATATAATTAGTCATTTTTTCACATAACATTAATATCCTCATGCACAGACAAAATCTTAAGATCTAAAATCTTACTCTCAAAAATGTTTTTGTTAATATTCTTTAAATGCCCCCATCTAATCCTAGAATATCGTTTAACTTTATTTTTTATTTTCTGTCCATTTATCTTAAAGTCCAAAACTAATAACCGACTACACAAATAGAAAGTCAAAAAAAAAAAACTTCTTTCTTTATTAGATCATGATCTGTCCTGAATTAGAAGTCTCTAGCCCTATTTATAAAAATAGATATCATTATCACAAATCAACTTTGAATAAACTTAAAAATATTAAACAAGGTTAAATGATAAATGGCCATGCTAAACTTAAAAAAAAAAAAGGTAAATGACCTAAAATACAAGACAAAAAAGGCTCAATACTAATAACTATGATTTCAAGCAACTTATGCATCATCAGTTTAAACTGCAAAGAACTTTGCTATGAAGAAATTGCAATACTATCAGAAGAGAACTGAAGGTCATCGACTGTACTATAGTAGATCTCGCCCAATCTTCTGAAAAAATAAGAACAATGCGTTTGTTACATGACGTGGTTAATGCTTTTAATGTTTCCATCCAAGCACGTCATTTGAAAGAGATGTTCCTAGTGCTTGCATCATATCTCAATCAAAAGAATGATTGACCAAACGAAATAAACCCATATAGGCATAATTGAACTTTTTTCTGGCGCTCCCAGTCCACCCAACCTTATCCAACCCATAAAACAGAAAGATCACAGTTTCCCTAATCTAACTACAGAATATACCTTTTGTTCAGTTTTTAGCTGTATGTTCAATACTCATGATATCCTCAGTTATAAAACATTTGCATCATAATACTTTTCCTGAATAACCAAACATCTCTTTTATTCATAGTCTACAACATGCTTCAGCTTCTTTAGAACATACTCAGCAAGCCTCTGTACATAGTCCTACATGTTGTATATGCTTAACATTTCAACTCATACTTGGCAGAAAGCCAAACCACTATTTATTAGAACAACTTTGTTAACACGATATTAAGCCAGTAAAGCCCAGCAGCCCATCAGTCTGATCATTTCATTCTATCATAACATAGGAAAATCAGGATTCCAAGGTAAGCTCGTAGTTTAGAAGACAACTTATAGATCAGTTAATATCAGTTGCCAGCACCAAACAGGGTGGAAATAACTGCGAGGACAAAGTTGCAGCTAAATGGTCAGTAGGCAAAACAGCGCCTACTGAAGCATGCTCCCAAGTCATAAGTACTTGGTTCTGATAGTAAATTGAATACTAATAAGCTCTAAAACTTGAAATATGCAAGATCACCAAAAATGAAAAATATTGCTTTCTTTCAATTATTTTCTGGAGCAAGATTGTAATATGCTCTGTAATACGGGAGTGTGACAATATAAACGCGAAAAACAGTTGAGTTTGAACCAGATGGAAACAATCTTGCGTACCAGCTCAAGGTGATGAGTGCGTGAGAGAGCTTCAGATAACCTCCTTTGCAAATCATCTTCCTTTTTACGTTCATATTCAGAGTTCTCCATTTCATTTCTTGACTCACCTAGTTCCTTGTACAAATCTGTGAAAGGTAGAAATTATATGAATTCATATTTATGGCATGCGTATTGACTGTGACCTGTGACCATAATAATAGCACCATGTACAAAAGTTAAGAAAATAAAAAATGGATGTCATGAAAGCTCTCCTCAAATAGTTTCTCCTAAAATAGAACACTGTCACAAAATAAGCAAGAAAATGGATCATACTATTACATAGGATCAGCCCACCTAGGCAAGGAACAAATGAAAAATAATGGATGGAATAATTGTCTTCAGGCAGTAAACTAATGCATAGGATTATCTCACAAAATGATGAAACTTGATAAGTCACCAAAAAATGCCTTGATCGGATAAGAATCTCAAAGCACATTCAAGTTGATAATTTCCGAGATTAACATTGGGACCATCCAAATTCTAATTTCAGCCAACTTTAAAGTCAAATTGAACCGTCTCAAAGAGACGAATCCAACAAGCCCAAGATCTCTTAATTTCAACATCATTAAAGCATATAAATGCTAAAGAAATGCTCTATGATCGGGAAATCAATGCAGACCGTTCGATGGAGCACTCTGAATTCGCTTTAGTTCCTCTCCATATTTATGGGGCATGACACTCTCAAAATCTATAAATAGACACTCTCTCCTTGTATAATGGAAACCTTTAGAGGCTAGGACCTAGGGTTAAAGATTTATGAGAGCCACGAGGCTTCAAAAATTCCAGAGCTCCACCCAGGCACCATCACCAGCAAATCCTTGCCGCCTAACTGCCATAGTCGGACTTTCATCGACCAACTATCACCCGACATCCACACAATGGATGTAGCTGTCATACTCAGCCCAACAGTTGCTATTGGACCTCTGCTCTACCATCATTGTCGGACCTCCACTCGGCTATTATCGCTGCCGCTCAACCTCTATTGCTTGACTACGGTCCCTTCAACTTTCAATGTCCAACTACCTACCCCCCCCCCCCCCCCCCCCCCCCCCCCCACCTCCTCCTCCAACCAATTATGGTTCTTCTGACCTCTGTTGCTCACCGACAACACTCCTTTCGATCTCCATCGCCTAACAACAGTCTCTCAAACCTCTATCGCCTAACTATGATCCCTCTGGCCTTCATCACCAGACAACTATGGTTCTTCTGACCTCCATTGCTCACAGATTATGGTCCCTCAAACCTTAGACACCTGACTATGACCCCTTCAACCACCATCGCTCAACTATGGTCCTTTTGACCATAGTAGCCCACCAACCATGGTCCCTCTAACCACCATCACAAGACAATGGTCCCTCCGACCTCCGTCGCTCGTGGACTATGGTCCTCGGACCACCATTGTGCAACAAAAATTGTCCTCCGACCACTGTCCTTATCACCATCGCCTGCCGACTACGGTCCTTCTAACCTTCGTCGCTGGTCAATTACGGTCCCTCCGACCTCCATCGCCCGCCAACTACGGCACTCGGACCACCGTCACCCGACTATGGGCCCTCCGACAATCATTTCCGAACCACAATCCTTCTAACTACAGTCCTCGAACCACCATTACCCAACTACGGTCCCTCCAACCTTTCTAGTCTAACTATAATCTCTCCAACCATAGTTGCCCACTAACCACGGTATCTCCAACCTTCGTCACCCGCCAACTACAGTCTTTTTAACCATAGTAGTCTACCAACGACCGTCCCTTCAACATCCTAAATACGACAATACTCCTTCGGCCATCATCGCTTGTCGACTATAATCCTTCTGACCTCCGTCACCCAACTACTATCCCTCTGACCTCCGTCACCTAACTATGGTCTCTCCAACCTTCATTGCCTCGACTACAGTCCCTTCAACCTTTGTCTCCAGACAATAGTCCCTTTAACCTCAATCGTCTAACAATAGTCCCTTCAACCTTTATTTCCCTACTACGGTCCCTCCAACCAGAGTTACCTGCCAACTACAATCGCTCTAACCATCGTCACAAGACAAAGATCCCTCCAACCTTCGTCGCCCGCCAAAAATGGTCTCTTAGACCTCTATCACCTGCCGACTATGATAAATTCGACCATTGTCAACCGATTATAATCCTTCTAGCCTCCGTCTCTCACTGACTGGTCACTCTGACCTCAATCGCCGACTACGGTCCTTGGCCATAGTTACATGCCTATGATTCCTTCAACCACCATTGTCTAACTACGATCCTTCCAAACACCATCGCACGAGTACAGCACCTCCCCCTATCAATACGATACCTCCGACTATAGTCGCCCGACTATGGTCCCACAAACCTCTGTAATATAAATATGCCCTCATAGCATTATTACCTGACCACCATCGCATAACAACGATCCCAACTACCTTCGTGACCCCCTAACTATGGTCATTTTGACCTTTATCACCCACCGACTACAGTTCCATCGACCTTCGTCACCCGACTACAGTCCGCTCGACCTCAGTCGCCCAACTATGTTCCTTTGACCTCCGACGCTCGACGACAATCCCTCCGACCACCATCGTCCAATTATGGTCCCTCTAACATCAGTCGCCCATTATGATCCTCCAACCACTATCCTCCGACTATAATCCTTGCAACCGAATATACAAGACAACAATCTCATGAGAACAATTCTCATGCCAGTGGATTCTTACAACTCCAACCATATAATGTGCTCTGTATGATATACATTTGCTACATTGAGCTAAAGTCTTCCCCCAAGGAAAGGCATCGCTTGTAATTAATGACAAACACTAGTGGAATCATCTTAATTGGGCCAAGCCTCATTGTTTTTCTCTTTCCTAAATTTTCCACGTAAAAAAATCTAGTGTCTTTTTATGATTGCTACACCCCTCTCTTTTAATTTTATGTGGGCTACATCTTCACAAAGTTAGGACATTAAGCTATATATTTCTTTACTGTCGTGAATGTTTCAGTAAACAACAATTTGGCATCGTCTGTGAGAAATTATTCTTAAATGGGGGCAACCTTTACTATAACCTCAAAAGAACATTCATGTCAAAATCGTGGGCATTAATTGGTTGCTCATTGATATTGTTCATACCCCATTTTGAACCCCCCCCCCTCTAGTCAACCTGAAGTACAACAGAGAAGAAAAATCTAAACAAGCCCCTTCTTTCTTACACCTATTCTGAACTACGTCTATCAAAATTAGATAAGTAAAAAGTAATATATTTAAATTTTTTTTTAACATATCAAGATTTTTACTTAACAACATTAAGCATGTAATATATCTCAATTAAATTTCACATATGATCAAAAGAAATACAGAGCTTTACTAAAACTTTTTAAAATTTACTTACATATCACAAAAGTATTTGTACAGCCTCTACTTGAACCTCTATATACACTTAAAATATATGTACACCAAAAAGAACAGTCAGCCCATTTTTTTGTCTAATGTCCTATGAGATTTTTCCTCTTTCCTACAGTACAACCACTGCTAATGAGCTAAGGCTTAATGAAATACACTAGTACTGTATAGGAAATAATAATAATCTTGTTAACAATTAATTTAGAACTCATTGAAATTAAGAAATGCATAAGATCACTTTTTATCTATCTAATTATTCAACAACTTAAAATAAGTGATATGATGACTATAAACTTTTGTACCCTTTCAGTGTTTCAATTCATGGTTGAGTCCAGACTCCTACCTTTTAGAATTGAAGTTGATCTCTCATTCAAGGTAAGGTTTAAGGTTTCGTTTGGGACGGCTTTTTTATTGCTTCTTAAAATAGCTTTCTAGTTTAAAAATTAAAAATTTTATACTAAAAAGCAGCTTTAAGAAGCAGAAAGAAAGTCGTCCCAAACGAAACTTAAATTCCCAACTTTTAGAATTTTGAGAGTATAGGCTTACCTTATCAGGTCTTTCGCCTTTACTTATGCGGACTTATCCCCCATATATGACTTAAGTCATCTTTCCAATACAATTCAATTTTATCAATCAGAAACTGTGTTATTGTAGACACAAATTGCAAGAACAAACTGGAATTAAAATGCTATTATAAGACAATTATGAATTTATAAATATATAAAATTTCTATTATTTTCTATGGATTGTTTGGGTATCTCACCTCATTTGGAATTCGTTCTTCTAAGTTCCGTTTTCTTCTCCTTTTATACACCACGTCAATTGTATTCTTCTTCATTCCAGTTAAATTCTATTTTCTTTCATAAACTTCTTTCCCTACTTTCCTTCCTTGCTTTTCTACCCAATTTCAATAATTTTATTTTCTTCTTTCCGTGCTGATTTCAATAATTTTATTTTCTTCTTTCCGTGCTGATTTCAGTTTTCAGCTAATAATAGCTGATTGCAGTGATTACCAACGACATGCAGCATTCTCATGCTGTAATTCCGTAATTTAGAGCACCAAACAGCAAATAAACAGCACCCTTACATATAGTTTTCAGCAACTACAACAGCCTACATCAGCAATATTGCATGATTTAAGTAAATAATACCTCGTTTCAACCATTATTCATAACAAAACTACTAAATTCTGCTGTCCTAAAATTTTCTTCCTAATATAACTTACCTATAGATTCCTTACAGCACATTGCAAAGTTGCCTTCCCCAGCTTTTCCTCTGCCAACTGCTTTTGGCAACAATAGCTCCTTCAACTCAAGGAAGTGTATATGGAATGAATGGAACGAATAAAATGCCTTGGTTATATTAGCATGAAATTCCACTAAGCTTCTAATTGAAGCTCCACTAAGCATAAAATATTCACTCTTAATTCCACTAATTTATTCCAAATCCTTCTCAGCCATTGATTTCCTGTTGATTTCCTACATCTTGAAACCAGCCCATTGCATGCATGGCTAAGTGCTATGGCTACAGTAATGGGACAAATTAATGCAATGATGGCTAATAGTTATAATTAAGAATTAATGAACTTAGTTAATTTTGATTAATTGTTAATGAAATGTGTAACAATTTATTCATATAATAATTATGCATATAGATGTACACAATTGATTTATGCTTACATTTGTTTTAAACATTTCGAGTATTAT